GATTTCCGTGACTTTGCTTCCTAAAATTTTCTTAGGCCCGTAGGAGTCCAACAGAATGAAACCAAAATTCACCAGGCCTTGAGTAACATGATCCCAACCGAACACACTAGATGGAGATAGCAAAAAGAAAGGAAAGGAAGAGAGCAATGTAATAAAAGCCTGACAACAGTTTTACCATTATGCCCTTTCCCCTCCTTGGACAGGGCAGTAAGAATTGCTAGATGAGGCTGAAGGTCCCTCTCATTGAGTATCCTTTGTCACATTTTTAATGCTACCCTACAGAAAAACACCCTGACCTTGCTGGACAATCTCAACAGATCTCAGAAGCTAAACATTTGAATAGCAGACCTCCAAGGAAGTTCAGGCTTGCTACGCAAAAGTAGGCAATAGCAAACTACCTGTGAAATCTCTTGCCTTGAAAATCCCATGAGGGGTCACCATAAATCAACTGCGACTTGACAGCATCATAGAAAAACACACGGCAGATTAAAATGCCGAAAAGCAACTCAAAGTTTAGTACAGCAAAAAATTTTAGTGTTCCAGGTGACTGTAGGTAACTGAACAACACTAGGAGTTCACTGATACTGTTGCAACAGTGGGCGCGAGCATGCTTGAACAAGCCTGGAGACAGAGAGAGAATCAACGATAGCCTCCAGGCAACAAGTGGGGCTCACGTCAAAGTGGCTTTTAGATAACTGTATGTAAAAATAAACTGTTGGATATGTTCTGTTCATTAATATATATGTTTTCATTCAATATTTATTGGGATTCAAAGTTGTAAAAGTTTCATTTGGACTGCGTGTGTATGTGGGAGAAGGGTTCCAGCTAGCCGTTTGCATACTTTGCTGGTTCCACTTAAAGGAAATTATCAGCGTAAGGGAATTCGAAAAGTATAATTCCTTACCCAGAGCCTGAAATGGAAGAAGTTATTCTGCTGCATGTGCAGAGCAGACCTTAAAAGGCTGCCAGGCTGCCACAACCCACCTGTTTGCCACGACTTCTAAAACTGTGGCTGATATGCTGCAGCGCAGAGGAGCCAAGTCCTGCAAGAACTTGGAGCCCTTAACGAACTGCATGTCCTTGAAGCACTTCATAACTGATGTTTTCAGGAAGTCAAAGACCTACAGCAAAAACAAAACAGCAACTAAGCAGGAAGTTATTTTTGTTTGCACTACTGAGAGTCCAGAGTGGAAGAACAGGCATGTTGTAGACAAATGATGCAAATTACTTGGATTCTGCTGGCGCACATAACTGTCCTCTGCCTTACTGATAAAGTTAAGAGCTGGGAAAGAAGACATACCTGCTCTTGAAATCGGTGTATCCTGGCCATTGACAGCAGAAGGGTCACACTGAAGGGACCGAGGGCATTGCTGGGATCTCTGTGCTGCTCAGACTAGGAAGCACCAAGCACAAGTAGAGTTTCAAATGTATAAAAAGGAGTTTTTATACTGAATAATAATATACTGATTTTAAATTACATTAAATTTTCACATTTCATTGTAAACCACTTCGCGGATACAAGTGGTTCAGAACAAGGGATTGAGCTTTTTTCTAGGCTTAGCTGCCATGTCCAATTTGCTTTGGCATTTAATTCATTGCCTTGTACACATTTATAACTTTTGCACAAGCCAAAAACAGGAAGATTCCAAGTATAAACAAACTACACTGGATCAGATTTGTCAATCAAGCCTATCCATGACTGAAAATAGCCGCATTGATGAAGAACAAAAGAGGGGTTAAGCACACCTCTCTCTCTCTCTCTCTCTCTCTCTCTCTCTCTCTCTCTCTCTCTCTCTGTTTTTCTTAAGAGGAAGAGAATGGGAAGCATGAAGTCATGCCATAGTGATGCTATGGAAAGCTGCCTGCAAGCCCCAGTCCTTTTTTTTTTCTTTCCTGCATTTAAAGCCTTCCTAGCCAAGAAACAGAAAGCAGCTCCCATGAGCCCTCCTTCCACTGCACTGAGGCAAAATAACCCAGCACCAATGACAGCTGCCCCTCCTGGATCTCCCTTTCTCCTAGGAGTCCAAGAAGGAAGGGAGCAGTTCTACCACCCTGTGTTCTGGGAGTGGGAAGGGAAGAACATTGGGGCAGGAGGAAAAAACACTGGAGGAGGCAGAAGCCTACCATCCCTGAACAGCCTACCGTCCCTGAATATTTTCCAGGCTCAGCAAGGGACTCTTGAGTTGCAAATCCACCAGCCCAAGCACAGAAACCCAGCATGCTATGATAGTCAGAATGTTTGACTAGGATCTGGAAAACTTATGTTCCAATCTTCACTTTGCCTGGGAACTTGCTAGGTGACCTTGGGCCAATCATGCACTCAGCATAACCTACCTCGCAGGGTTGTTATGAGGAACCTTGGGCCAATCATGCACTCAGCGTAACCTACCTCGCAGGGTTGTTAAGAGGATAAAATGGAGGAGGGTAGAATTGTGTAAGCTGCTTTGGGTCTCCATTGTGGAAAATACATAAATAAAATAAATGAAGTAAATACATAGAAGTGCCCGGAATTAAGATGGTAGCAGCTGCTTTATTCAGTTCAACTCTCGTCATAAAGAAAAAAGCTTAATTACCAGAAAGCAGGGAAATCTCTGGTTGAACAAGAAGTTGTCATCCCTGTTAGCTTAGGGCAGAGCTTTCATGGCTTCAGTTGGACACTATCATATCTTACAACCCCTTATGCAACATAAGAGCTACTTAAGTTGGAGGAAGACTGTTCAGGCTGGTGGAACTCCTAGCTTTGCTCAGTGGAGTAGCAAGAAACAGGCCAGTTCCTTAGAAGTTAGAGATGTGCAGATTTTGCCCATGCCTCTGAACCATCAGCTCCATCTCAGCTCATTCTTGCATTTGACATACCTTTAAGTATTTTAGCAGCTCCTTGCCCAAATCCCGGTCCAGATTAATGGCCAGCACAATATGCAGAATGACTGTGCCTTCCACATGGCGGAGTTGATCTAATGGCACCGTAGCTGCTTCAAGGTCCATGGACCTAAAAGAGTTGTTGGCCAGAAAAACAATCCTGGTTGTGACAGAGATGCAGTAAAGACAGAAACAGGCCATTGTGAGGGTGACCTGACTGAGAAAAGAGAAGTATCACAGCGATAATAGAAAACAAAAGGCCATACGATACAGTTTATTAAGACCAATCCAAATAACACAACCCAGCAGGGAAGCTTCTGAGTTCTTCAAAACTCTGCATCAGAATGAATGTTAAAAAGTGGGTGAGGGAATGATCTTTCAGGCCATCAATCTGAGGCCTTAAAGCATACTGAAAGTTGAAGAACGAGGCTTGAGTCCAGTGGCACCTTTAAGATCAAAAAAGTTTAATTTGGGGTATAAACTTTCCTGTGCATACACACTTCTTCAGATACATTGAAGCAGTTTTCCTTACATATAAGTAGAGGGGGGTTAGTTGCCAGGAAGTATAACTGAAATTGGCTTAAAGCAGTTGGTAAGACCTGTGAATGGCAGCAAATTAGCATATAAATATAAGAGTTAACAAACAGATGTGAGAACTAAGTCCAGTGGCACCTCCATGACCAACAAAGTACAGTTCTTGGTTTAAGCAAGAACTGACTTAGCGTGCATAAAGGCACACTTCCTCAGATACACTGAAACAGATTTCCTCAAGCTTTACATATAAGTAGATGGGGAGAAGGGCTAGTTAGAGTCAAGATACATAAGCTATATGTAAGGCTTGAGGAAAACTGTTTCAATGTATCTGAAGAAGTGTGCATGCACACAAAAGCTTATACCCAGAATTAAACTTTGTTGGTCTTAAGGGTGCCACCAGACTCAAGCTTTGTTCTATTGCTTCAGACCAACACAGCTACCCCACCTGAAAGGTAAAGAGTTCTGAAAAACTCAAAAGCTTGCACACACTGTGGAATTATTTGGGTTGGTCTGAAAAAAAGGTACTATATGGACTTTTATTTTTGGATCTTGCTATGGACCAATGCAACTACCTACATTTACAATATCCTACTAGATACCAGATATGAGAAATTACTCACTCTGAATCTCTCTGCTCTTCTTTCTGCTTTTGATCTACCTGATTGAAAAAGCTGATTAATCCTTCCAAAATGTTTTTCTTGCTACCCTGAAAAGTTAGAAGAGAATAAAGTAACAGAAGTCATTTTATATTACAGTATTAAAATGTAGTATCAACAGCAAGCTCTTAGTGTTCCGTGCACTTCACAGACAGATAGAATCTCAGCAATCTTTGGAACAAGCTGGAAAGTCAGCCCAGTATTAATTTTCACCCACGCTGCAAACAGGGAGATAGATCAAGATGGGTAGCCATGTTACTCTGTCTGCAGCAGTAGAAAAGAGTAAGAGTCCAGTAGCACCTTATCTTAGACAAACTTAGCCTTTAAGGAGCTACTGGACTCTTACTCTATTCTACTGACTTGTTTAAGGCCATCTTGCAAGCTGAAAGCAGAGGGCAGTTTTTGGCCAGCGGCTTCCTGGTTCACAGTTCACAGCCAGAGTGCTACTCTGGGTCCCCAACCCCATTTCTCTTTTAATACCAAGACTACAACCTGGTTCCTAAAAGCTGCAAGAATCAAAAACAGACATGTTGCTTTAAGAACATACTGGATCAGACCAGTGGTCCATCTTGTACCAAAAACACACATGTTGCTTTAAGAACATACTAGATCACACCAGTGGTCCATCTTGTCCAGCAGCCTGTTTCACACAGTGGCCAAACAGTGGCCCTGGAGGGTCAGTAAACAGGGCAAAGAGACACACACAAAGGGTCAGTAAACAGGGCAAAGAGACACAGACCTTCCCCTGATGTTGCCTCCTGGCACTGGTATCCAGAGATTTTATGCCTCTAAATGTGGGGGTTCCCTTTAATTACCATCACTAGTAGTCACTGATAACCTGTCCTTCATTAATCTGTCTAATCTCCTTTTTAAGTCTGACATACCTATTCACCTATATTGGGTAACATGAATGTCAGGGAAATAGAAATGGGCTTTCGGGTAAATTATGAATGTCAGGGAAATAGAAATGGGCTTTGTGGAGTTATTCTCCAATTCTGATGTAAAACCATTCGCTGATATTAGCTGCTACTCACTCATTACCAACAAGTTTCTGGGGGAGGTTATACAAATTTTGTAGAAGAGCACACTCCAGGTATATCCAATTTTCTTTGCAGCTGGTTGGACTTCAGGCAGACACTCAGTTTAAAAGTGACTGCCTGTGAAAGTGTGACTAGAATTTTTGTCAACATCTTCCTCAGAAGTTCTGTGGTCCACATTTTAGAATTTGGGGGACCTGGTCAGTTTCCCCATAGACATTACCTTTGCAGAAAGCAGCAGCAGCTGGTAGACCAGAGGAGGGATTTCTTGGAGATCCACCTTAGGAAGCATCCTTAGTACCTTTTCCACCACAAATTGCAGCTCTTCCACACTCAATGGGACGTCCCTGCAGAGTTTGGAAGTGGGGGGAAAAACCCAAACATTTCCCCATTCATGTTGGCACCTTTCAAAATGCAACAGCATGCTTAGACCGAGAGCTAGCAAAAGGAATCCCACCTCAAAGGACCAAGAGCCCTGCTTGGCTGTTGGATGAAACAAAGAAGCTTTGAAGTAGGGAAGCTTCAGTAGGGAAGTGCCTGGGAGTGCAGTGACTAGATAAGGAAAGCCAACTAACAGTCTAAGCCGCTCTGCTATCAAGTGTAAATCATTCTGGGAAGATGGACAAAATCTGGACCACAGTGGCTTTGCAAATCTCTCCCTCTGGATAATATCCAACTGGATCACTAGCTAACCCAGTCAAAGCAGATCATTCTATAGTACAACCTGAAGCAGAGTTACACCCTCCTAAGACAGTTGAAATAAGTGTACTTAAAAGGTGTAACTCCAGTTAGGACAGCATGGCTAAAAACCACCACTGGCACATGGGATCGTTCAAAGAGACCCCTGGAGCCTAAAAACTCTTCTTCACTGAAGAAATGCCTGGCCTAGTGGAATGTCTTCAAAGTCCAAGCACTGACTGTGATTAACTTAGCACTTCTCCTCTTTTGTGTGTGTGCGTAAAGTACCATTAAATTGACTCACACAACAACCCTATAGGGCTTTCAAGGCAAGAGGTGGTTTGCCATTGCCTGCCCCCTTGCACAGCAACTCTGGACTTCCTTGGTTGTCTCCCATCCAATTACTAACCAGGGCTCACCCTGCTTAGCTCCTGAGGCTAGCCTGAGCCCTCCAGGTCAGAGGTCTCTACTCCCTTATCACCAGGAAAAAAGTCATTCTCCGTCACAAACACCTTACCCAAAAAAAAGCAGTAAAAATAGAGACTGGGGATTACCTGAACATGGAGGTGAGATGGATCACATACTGATGGCTCCACCTGCCCAGATAAAATTAATAAGTCTGAGAACAAGGGGGGGGGGGATTACTAGCCAGAAATACTACCATATCCAGATTCAATTCATCCCCCTCCCCCCCCGATAATTCTTTGACTACGTTAAATAGAAGCCAGGTGCTGCGGTGATGCAGCCTAAAATTACCAGCCACTCCAGAACATTTGTGGCCTGCTCACAGATCTGTTGACAAATGGAAGGACTGGGGAGTGCCTTGCCAGAGACAAGGATTGAAGAATCCAGAGCAATCACACCACTGTTCTTTCAGTACAGAGGAATGAGACCTCAAGAAAACAGAGCAGAGCAAGGGTGAGAGAAGCCTTGAAATGAAGCAAAAAGGTATTATATAGTGAGATGCACACTGTTTAGCGAAGGGTTTAAAAGGACAATTTAGCAATGATTGTTTCCTAGAACAGCGCTGATGTTACAGCGCTAATGATGATGGTACTTCATGCAGTGTGTGTGTGTGTGTATGAGAGAGAGAGACTGACTGATCTCCATTCGAAGACAGGCATACAGTATTTGACTCTGAAATCATGCATGGAAGAAGGGCTCACAAGGTGAGTTCTGAACAATTCTCCCAGAGAACCCATGGAACTGAAAATACCAGACCTACCTACCTGCTGGAGCACAGTGTATTGATCAGCTGTTTCTTAAGCTCTACCCCACTCAGTTCACCTGTTAGGAGGGGGAAATTGAACATTTAGAAAACGTGACTAGTTATAGGAAGGGGGGGGGGAGCAAAGAGCTTACCTTTGCCATAAATCAGGCTCTCTTTCGATGTAGCCAGTGCAGTCAATACTGTCGGAAGCAACTCTAAAGATTTGCCACTTAGCAGGCTACCTCCTCGGACAGCTTCAACAAACAAAGTGGCCAAATCAACCAATGCGGGGCCTGGCAGCTGGTGGACCTAACAAATGGGAGGCAAAACCCCCCAAAGTTATGAGAATATGCTTTGAAGGCTTCATATATGCCTCCCCCAAAAAAAGAAGGGGAGGGGAGAGAAAATCAAGAACAAAGGAAAGAGGCTATCAAGATGGTAGTGAAAATTGTTTCAGAAATAGCTGTTGCACCCCCTGCTGGAAAAATATAAAAACCCACTGTCATGCGTGACATCTGTCAGTCACCACCTTGAACACACATGCAGTGTTATCCCAACAGGGCTGCCAACATTTTTGACCAGCCCTCTTCCTATGTCCTTAAAGGCAGCCTAACAGACAAAAAAAAATTAATCAGATGAAACTTTTTCTTAGTAGTAGAAAAGGCTTCTGGTTGTCAGGCTGATGTTAAAGGCACAACAAGAGAGCTAGTATGTTGACAAACCAATATCCTAATGATGACGATTGCATTACCTAACAGACTAATTCTGCAATCATATGCATTTGGCTTGACAGGAAGTCCCACTGAATAACAGCACATTTGAAATAAATGTGCACAAGGGAGATGACCAGACTACCATTTACTTGCTGGCCTGCTCAGGAATATAAATCTGAAAGCTAGAATAGAAATCCCCCAATAAATCTGAAACTGAAACTTAGAAGTGAAAGAAAGCCAGCGTGGTGCAGTGGATAGAGGAGTGGTTCCCAAAGTGAATGGTAGTGCCCCTGGGGGTGAGTGCAAATTATCTAGGGCAAGGGTCATTTCATAGAAAAATAGGTGCAGGAGCTCATTAGCATAACTCATTAGCATAACTTATTTGCATATGCCACACCCCCTGATATCACTGGCAATACCCACCGCTCAGGCTCCACGGGACTGTTTTGGATTGCTAGCTATTGGTGGGGGATGCGCAGATCTGCCCTCGCACAGGAGGGAGAGCTTGTACCTGAATGAAACTTGGTCTTAAAGGTCCCACTGGACTGTTTTGGACCGAGGGGCCAGGGGGAGCTCTGCAACTTACTTGGCTGCTTTTTGCTCTGACTGAGGGCTGCTGGGAGCAGGGGGTGGGGCTTGCTGCATGTGCCTGCCCCCTGGGCTTTTTACTGCCGGAGCTCCGCTCCTGTGCGCTCCTGCAGGAAATGACCCCTGATCTAGGGGGTTGCTAAGAGGCAAAAGGCAGCAGGGGGTACTAGAGGTGTGCCCTTTTGTCTGCACTGTTCATTGATTTACAATTGACCAAGCTATGGCAGCATGCTGGCAAATGGCACTCCAAGTTTCTGCCTCTGCATAGTGCTGAGAACTGGCGAAAACTATAGGAATTTTTAGGGGGGGGGGGGAGACTCTTGCAGGCTATTTTGTATTTTTAGTGAAATATGACAGAGGAGGAACAATCACTGTCAGAACCCTGCCTAACCTAACAAACAGGAAGTTGCTTTAATGTTATCAACCTGTCCAAACTACTAATTTATTCAAATATTTATATCCCACTTTTCCCTGTGACTCAAGGCAGCTTACAAATCATACTGAAAAGTATAATAGGGGTGTGCAAAAAAATAAATAAATTCCCAGCTCCATGTAGCCTATGGGGAACCATTATAGTCAATGGGTCCCATAGGCTATAATGGAGAATCAATCTGGGGGTATCTGAGGTTCTGGGGGGCTGTTTTTTGAGACAGTGGCACCAAATTTGCAGCATAGCTGCTGGTGCCTCTCCTCAAACCCCCCCCCCCCCAACTTCAAAAAGATTGGACTGGGGGGCCAATTCTATGGGCCCCAGAAGGAGGTGCCTCCATCCTCCATTGATTCCAATGGAGGGGGAAATGCCTTGTGAGCTGAAAGCAGTAATCCCTACGCTGCCTGTTACAATTTTGTGCACCAGCACCCCCTATCTCACCTTAAAGGGAACTATCCCTGGGAGACCAAGGCTTGAAGCCCCATTCTGCCATGGAACCTTGCTGGATGACTCTCAGCCTAACCAAGCTCACATCCTGACCAATGTTCCCTCTAAGATGTGGAGTCTTGTGAGCAGAAATTCTACTTTGTGTGCTGGTGGCATTCAAGTTGTGAGGGAGCCATTTGGCTACTGCATGGATTAGTTTGCTCTGGAGCCCTCCTTCCTGAGCCAAGACAAAAATGTGTGAGCCGGAGGCTAAAAAACTGTGAGCTGGCTCACACTAACTCAGCTTAGAGGGAACACCGATCCTGACCTGATGACCCATAATCTTGCAAGAGTTTGGAAGCTTAAGCAGGGTTGGCCACAGTTAGTATTTGAACTTGAAACCATTAAGGAAGTCCAAGGTTGCTACGCAGAGGCAGGCAATGGTAAACCACCCCTGTTCATCTCTTGCCTTGAAAACCCTATGGGGTCAACATAAGTTAGCTACAACTTGACAGCCCTTTCCATCACCACCAATCTAGCTCACAGGTTTGTTGTTATGATAAAATGAAGGGGAGAATGTTGTAAGTCACTTTGGGTCCCCATAGGGAGAAAATTAAGGTATAAACAGAGTGTATAAATAAACAATAGATCTCCTAACCAGATCTTGCTGGCCCAGAAGAAATTAATCCTAATAAAGCTGTTATTACCTCTAGCATCAGCAGCCCTATAATCTCACATGCTACTTCCACATGCAGGTCACCGGATTCTACCAGCTGGATGCCATGTTTGTAAATGCTGATTCTCCTGATGACACAACTCTGTTGAGAGCAAGGGGAACCTAATGTGGAAGACAGAGAAACCAAATGAATTTATATATATGGGCTGTCTCCTCATACCACTCATAGTCAAGAGGAAACCACGGATCTTTCAAAAGCTAGACTCGTAGATCATAGACCATTTCCCAGTGTAAGAAATGGTTTCTCAGTATTTCTTCCCCCTTATTTTGCACAATCTAAACAAAGCTCTCTTTAATACACAAATTTAGATACTTCTGCATCACAGAAGCAGGTCCAATGAAATTACCATCTTGCTTATTCTGCGTTTCTAAGATGGGAGTCCAAAGAACACTTTCCTAGGAGTAAACCCCACTGAAAATAAAATGACTTACTTCTTAGTAGCCCTGATTAGGATTGCTCTCTCAGTCTGTGACATCAACAAGCATCAACTGTCTACTAAGAATTAGTTCATGCTTGCATATTCAAGTGATACTGAGATATTGGCCAGTGGAATTTATTTTGATTTTTATCCAAGGCATTTCTTCAGGACAATACTATCTGGAAACTGACTATGCTTATTTATTTTAGAATGTTTATATGCAGCCTTTTCACCTACTGGGTTCTTATGGGGGCCAACAAGTACATTGAAAAATACAACCATTAAAATAAAACCATAATATGCTGGAAACAAACACCACTGCCAAGCAGCACCAATCCAATCTGAAGGCCTTTCAGAAAAGAAGTTTTAGTGGGCTTCCGGTCTGGCTCCCGCGAAAGGCAGACGCATCCTCAGGTCGCTCCCGAGGGCGTCTTGCCCGCCCGCGGTGGAGGAGGGAATCCGCGCAAGCGGAGACCCGAACGAGCCCCTCAGGGGAGAGGAGCTCGGATCCGGGGCGCATTAGGGCGTTCTAGGGGGGAGTCTCTCTTTCGGTCGAAAGATCGGAGATTGAGACTCTCGCCATGCCCTGCCCCTTTGGACCTTGCTGCGTGAGCGACCCCGTTCTACGGGGTTTAGCGGAACCACCGGG